ATGCACTCCCCTTCCCCCTTAAATGGAAGACACCTCAGCACCCCTTCTCTTGAGCTACCCTCCTGCCTGCCCAGGGACCCCCCCCCCCCCCGGTCTGCTTGTGGCTGGCTTCTCTGGGCCTCACTGAGCCCCAAACCCTGTGGAGCCCTCACTGCATTCCCAAGGAACAAACAGTTAAGATAAGAAAGGACTTTGTGTTCAAGTCATAAAAGTCAAGGTCACATTCAGAAAACCCTTCACAATGTGATTTTATGTCTGTGCCATACATTCTTGGAGCAGGAAAACAATGAGTTCCGACCTCTTTTGGGAGGAAGGGGATTTATTGTAGAGAAGAGGTCTCACCAAGTTGCCCAGTCTGGTCTCGAACCCACGGACGCAGGTAATCCTCTCACCTCATCCTCCCAAAGTGCTGGGATTATAGCCATGAGCCACCGCGCCCGCCCAAATCCCGACCTCTTGAAACATGATGTATAGCATGGGGATGAAACAGACATGCAAAAGCTCAGTGCAGGGAACAGCCTGTATTCGGCTTCCCTCAGCCTCTTGGAATTTCAGACACCAGCCACTTAGAGCAATCTGTTACAATTTTCTGGAACCTTGGGCGAGCTCTTTTGGGTGTGGGCTAGTTGATCATGACTTCTCTATCATGAATTCCCTTTACTGTTCATCACTCAACAACCGTTTTTTTAATACTTAGAGAAAGAGTTTAATATCACAAAGCAGCTGAATGAGGAAGACAGGAGATATTACTCAAATTTACTCTCCCCCAAAATCCAGAGGATAGGGTTTTTGTGTGTGTGTGTGTGTGTGTGTGTTGCTTGTTTGTTGAGTTGGAGTCTCACTCTGTGGTCCAGGCTGGAATGCAGTGGCATGCTCCCAGCCACTGCAGCCTCAACCTGCTGGGTTCCGGCGATCCTTCCACCTCAGCCTTCCAAGTAACTAGAACTACAGGCACACGCTATCACGCCCAGCTAATATTTGATTTATTGTAGAGACGAGATCTCATCATGCTGCCCAGGCTGGTCTCAAACCCACAGGCTCAGGCAATCCACTCGCCTCGGCCTCCCAAAGTGCTGGGATTATAGGCTTGAGCCACTGAGCCTGGCCGGATTGGGTTTTTAAAGAGAATTTGGCGGGCAGGGGACAGAGGCTGCTGATTGGTTGATGATATCAAGGAGTGTGTTGAGACTGTCTTCCTGTCACAGTCAATTTCTGGGAGGGGCCATCACAAACATGACAGTGGAGCCAGCTTCTTGGTGGGTGTCCTGGGCCTGGGTAGTGCTTTGGGCCCACTAAGAGTCTGAAAAATATCTCAAACATCAACAAGCATTTTTGAAGCACCGCTTTTAAGCCTGGTGCTGTCCAGGCACCAGAATTCAAGTGATGATCAACTATTAGCTGAACTCGGCTCTGCTGGAGCTTATACTCAGGAAGACTGATGCTGAGCATGCAATTACAGGACACATGGCCTGGCATGCAAAGGAGAGGAGTAGGTTTCACTAGGACCAAGGAGGTTTCACTAGCGACTTAGCCAGGGGATGGGCACTGCCTTGAGGAAATGATTTTTTTTTTTGAAAGCAGGATTTATTGAGAGGACAGAAACGCTCCCACAGTGGGAGGGGACCTGAGGGGGCTGCCCGAGAAAATGATATTTTAAGCCAGCACTGAAGGATGAGCGGGAGGTGCTCTAGTGGAGCTGTTGAGGGAAGCATGTTGCCAGGCAACAGCCCAGTGATAAGGAGGACAAGGAAAATCAAAGCCTTGCTACTCAAAGTGGGGTCCACAGACCAGCAGCATGGGCATCACTGGGGAGTGTGTTAGGAATGCAGAATCAGGCTGGGTGTGGTGGTTCACACCTATAATCCCAGCACTTAGGTAGGCCGAGGTGTGAGGATTGCCTGAGATCAGGGGTTTGAGACCAACCCGGGCAACTTGGCAAGCCCTCATCTCTACAATAAATCAAAAAAAGTAGCCGGGCATGGTGGTGTGTGCCTATAGTTCCAGCTACTTGGAAGGCTGAGGCAGAAGGATCGCCTGAGCCCAGCAGTTCAAGGCTGCAGTGGCTGCGAGTGTGCCACTGTACTCCAGCCTGGGTGACAGAGTGAGACTCCCAACTCAAAAAAATAAAAACACAGAATCAGGCTGGGCACAGTGGCTTACGCCTATAATCCCAGCACTTTGGGAGGCCGAGGTGAGAGGATTGCCTGAGCCCTCAAGTTTGAGACCAGCCGGGGCAACTTGGCAAGATCTCATCTCTACAATAAATCAAAAGTAGCCGGGCAGGGTGGTGTGTGCCTGTAGTTCCAGCTACTTGGCAGGCTGAAGCGGAAGGATCACCTGAGCCCAGCTGGTTGAGGCTGCAGTGGCTGGGAGCGTGCCACTGCCCTCCAGCCTGGGCAACAGAGTGAGACTCTGACTCAAAAAAAAAAAGAAAAAAGAAAAGTAATGCAGAGTTTCTAACTCACCCCAGACTTAGAGATCAGAACCTGCATTTTAACAGCTCCTGGGGAATCTATATGCATGTCAAAGTTGGAGACAGACACTAGTCAGGCATGCTGGCTCATGCCTATAATCCTAACCATTTGGGAGGCCAAGACAGAAGGATTTCTTGAGGCTAAGAGTTAGAGACCAGCCTGAGCAACAAAGCGAGACCCTGTCTTTGCAAAATATACAAAAATTACCTGGGCATGATAGCAAGTCTGCAGTTCCAGTTACTCTGGAGGTTGAGGCAGGAGGATTGCTGGAGCCCCAGAGCTCCAGGTTCCAGTGAGCTATGATTACACCACTACCCTCCAGCCTAGGCAACGGAGCAAGACTTTGTCTCTAAATAGAGTATTAATAAATTTGGAGAAGCTGGGAGTAGCTGGAACCTAGAGAATGAGGGAGAGAGGGCATGAGATGAGACTGGAAAATTTGGCAGGACTTGTTTGTACCGACCGCAAAGATTGTGGTAAGGAGTTTGGGTTTGATTTTCAGGGCAGTGGGTTGGTTTTTGGCATTTTTAAAAGCCAAATCGGGTACATGTTTGGAACGCTCACTCTGGCGGTGCTATAGAGAATGGACTTGCTGAGGAGCAGAGCTAGAGGGGAGAAGAATGGTCAGGAGGCTGGGAGTCACCAAAAGAAAAGGCCCCTTCTGATGCCAACTGTCTGCAATGTTGCGTGGACTGAAAGTGATCCCTTGCCTTCTCCACCAGACCCCTCAAATTCAAATGCCTCTTGTATGATCTTCTAGAGTTTGCTCCCCCCTAGAAAGGTCTAAGCTCCCTCCTAGACTAAACTTTTTTTTTTTGAGTTGGAGTCTCACTCTGTCACCCAGACTGGAGTGCAGTGGCCGCTTCCGGCCACCGCAGCCTCGACCTGCTGGACTCTGGAGATCCTTCCTCCTCAGCCTTCCGAGTAGCCGGAATTACAGGCATGCGCTACCACGCCCGGCTAATTTTTGATTTATTGTAGAGATGAGGTCTCGCTGCCCCAGGCGGGTCTCGAACCCGCGGGCTCAGGCAATCCACTCACCTCAGCCTCCCAAAGGCGTGGGATTACAGGCTGAGCCACCGAGCCCGGCTAATTATTTTTTTAATTGTAGAGACGAGCTCTCGCCAAGTTGCCCAGGCTGGTCTCGAACCCGCGGGCTCAGGCAATCCACTCACCTCGGCCTCCCAAAGTGCTGGGATGACAGGCTGAGCCAACGAGCCCGGCCTAGACTGAACTCTTGAAGGCAGGAATCAGACAACAATCACCTGAGTGAGTTAACCGTGTGAAGTTTAAGAGATTAAAATAATAATAACCTTATGTACTTCAGACGGGAACATGATTCAGAAGCTTTTCTGAAAAGTAATTTGATAGCACAGGCTTTAAAAATGCCCATGCATTGCTCAGAGTCATTCTACAAGGAAGGATCAGAAAATCAGAATAAAAGATGCATCATTACGTATTAATAGCAAAAATTACAAATTACCAAAATGTTTCAGGACTAGGGGATGGTAAATTACATTGTGGTGTGCACCCTCTACCAGGACTTTTTATTTTTTATTTATTTATTTATTTTGAGTTGGAGTCTCACTCTCAGAGACTCAGACTGGAGTGCAGTGGCCGCTCCTGGCCACTGCAGCCTCGACCTGCTGGGCTCCGGCGATCCTTCCGCCTCAGCCTTCCAAGTAGCTGGAACTACAGGTGCGCACTACCACGCCTGGCTAGTTTTTTGATTTATTGTAGAGATGAGGTCTCGCCAAGTTGCCCAGGTGGGTCTCGAACCTGTGGGCTCAGGCAATCCACTCACCTCAGCCTCCCAAAGGCGCAGGATTACAGGCTGAGCCACCGAGCCTGGCTCCTCAGCTGATTTTTTAATTTTTGTAGAGACAATGTCTCCTTGTGTTGCCCAGGCTGGTCTCGAACTCCTAGGCACAAGCAATCCTCCCACCTTGGTCCCCTAAAGTGCTGGGATTATAGACATAAGCCACCATGCCCAACCATAATAATTACAAATGCAGTGGAGTCTCAACTGTGTAAAAATTACGCAGTGACAAAAATGGAAGAAAATATATCAAAATATGAATGATGATGGAGATTCCTCTTCTTCCTGTTCTCTGTATTTCCTAAATGTTCTATAATAAACAGTAATACTTTTATGATGAGAAAAATTGTTTTCTGTTTGTTTCTTTTTTCTGAATCAGAGTCTCACTCTGTCGCCCAGGCTGGAGTGTAGTGGCACACTCACAGTCATCCTGGTGCTGACCTGATGGACTCCGGCGATCCTTCCGACTCAGCCTTCCAAGTAGCCAGAACTACAGGTGTGCGCTATCGTGCCCGGCTAATTTTTTTATTTATTGTAGAGATGAGGTCTCACCAAGTTGCCTAGGCTGGTCTCGAACTCCTGAGCTCAGGCAATCCTCTCACCTCGGCCTCCCAAAGCGCTGGGATGGCAGACTTGAGTCATGCGCCCGGCCAAAAAATTGGTTTTTTTTAAGACAAGGAACTGGCTGAGTTCTGTCTCTTCTGCAGGCAACGCCATGGTCCTGGAGGCTGACGTCAATGTGGAAGGGCTCAACACAGTCAACGAGACAGGGGTCCCCATCATGGCACACCCCCCGGCCATCTACAGTGACAACACGCTGCAGCAGTGGCTGGACACCGTGCTGGACACATCTGTGAAAGGTAAGGGCCCTGCCAGGATCCCTCCTTCCCAGCCCTCTGGTCCCTGAGCAGAGCGAGTAGGGATACCTCACTCACGTGTCGCTCATTGCCGTGGCTGTTCCCTCATTGTGCTACAGACGCCCAGGCTCAGTGAAGACCAGGTGAGGTGGGGGGTGGGGAGATGTGTCAGTGAGTGTCTGGGTGTGCTCTCCTGGGCACACAGGTGAGACAGTGGACATGAAAGTGCAGAGTCAGCCGCCAAGTGCCAGACGTGTTGAATTCCCTGCTGGATCCATGATGTTCGAGGCTAAACTCCGCCTCCCCCCACGTCCCTTTACCAGCCACAGTCAGAATCTAATCCTCACCTTAACGCCTCCCTCTCCTCGTCCTCACATCCACTCAACTGCTGCGTCTGCCAGTTCTAACCCCCAAGGCCCACCTCCCATCCAGTCCCAGACTCACCAGCTCTCTCCTGGGCTTCCAACCTCACTGGCTTACTGTCCCAAACTCAGCCCCTCTGGCCTTCCCTTGACAACCACGACCACACCCACCCTTAAGTGATCTTTCCAAAATGCCAGTTTTATCGTGCCACTCCTCTGTTTCAGCCCTCCGTGGCCCCCCAGTATCCCTGGGACCAAGCATGCTCTCATTGACCTGGCTTTCAACACCTAACTACCCAGTCTAAAAAGGATGGGTCTTCCTTCACACTGGGTCCTTCCTCAGCCAAGATCGCCCTCCTCTGCTCAAATGCCCCTTCCTGGAGGCTGAAAGACCTCCCCACAGGCTCTGGTGGCTTGGGATCCTCCGAGCCTGCCCTGGCCAGGAATTACAGCCCTTTGGGAATTTACCACTTGTTTGATTCTAGCCACAACAGCCCTAGGTCCAAGCCCTTCTCAGGCCTCCACTGCCTCCTATGGGAGGCGGGCTCTCCCTCCCTGGAGTGGGTGGGCCCTTCTGGGTTGGCTCTGCCTGTTTGAAAGCCCCTCCTTTCACCCGGCAGGGAAGTGTCCCCTGTCTTCCCACTTCCCGGCCACCCGCCCCACACGCCTCCTACCAACTTCTGCCCTCTCCGCCCAGGGAGCCACATCTTCCTGGTTCCTTCTCCAGCTGCCAAGCCCTCACCCCTCCCCCACAGGCATCAAACTGGACTTCAAGAGCATCAAGGCCGTGGGCCCCTCCCTGGACCTCCTGCGGCGACTGACAGAGCAGGGCAAAGTCCGGAGGCCCGTATGGATCAACGCCGACATCCTGAAGGGCCCCAACGTGCCCATCTCGATCGAAGTCAATGCCACACAGTGAGTGTCCGCCTCTCTGCCCCAGTTGTGTCCAGCCCTCTTCCATCAGCACCTAGCACAGGAAGGGGGACGCAGGGTACCTTTGAGTTTGCCCCTAGTCACAACATACAGGCTCACCTCTGAGGCTTTGTACATGCTGTTCCCTCTATCTCAAATGCTTTTCCCCCTCTTTCTGAAGAACCTCTGCCCAGTCACTACCTCCTCTGGAAACTTCCCTGACATCCCAGCCTACTGTGGACCTTCCCCTGGGGCCCCCAGCCCCCACACATCCTTCTAACACAGCTCAGACTTCATTGGGTTGTCACTGTTGATTTACACATTTGTCACCCCTACTGCACTGGACCCTGGAGGACAGACAGAGCCACGTCCTCTCTGTGTACCAGTGACCAGTGCTGGACTCGGCCTTCTAGAAAAGTCTACCTTGGGAGGCAGAGGCCTGAGTTCAGGGTTTGAGACCAGCCTAGACAACATGGCAAGACCTCGTCTCTATAATAAATCTTTTTTTTTTATTTTGAGTTGGAGTCTCACTCTGTCACCCAGGCTGGAGGGCAGTGGCATGCTCATGGTCACTGCAGCCTTGACCTGCTGGGCTCAGGCAATCCTTCCACCTCCACCTTTCAAGTACCTGGAACTACAGGCATGTGCCACCATGCCCATCTAAGTTGCCCAGACTGTACTCGAACGCATGGACTCAGGCAGTCCTCTTGCCTCAGCCTCTCAAAATGCCAGCATTACAGGCATGAGCCACCATGCCCAGCACAATAAATAAAAAATTAGCCAGGCATGGTGGCACACGCTTGTAGTTCCGGCCACTTGGAAGACTGAGGCAGAAGGAGTGCCTGAGCCCTGGAGGTCAAGGCTGTGGTGGCCGTGAGCATGCCACTGCGCTCCAGCCTGGGCAACAGAGTGAGAACCTGACTCAAAAAAAAAAAAGTCTAAAACACTGCCTCCCTCCCCAGAGCTCCTGAAGTTACAGCACTGCCACAGACAGCCCTCACATACACCACCTGCAGGGTACTCTACAGTTTATAAAACAAGTCTACATAAAAATTTCTCTGATTTGGTCCTTACACAGCACTACCAGATTAGGGCTTTCTTCTCCCCATTTTGCAGATTATAAAGCTGACAATTGAGGCTCAACTTATTGAATGTTGACTATGTGACCCCAGCACTGTTTTAAGCACTTTCCTTGCAGATACCTCTGAACCCTTCCAATGTGGATGAGGTAGCTACTGTTATTTTCACTTTATTTGTCCAGAAATTATCTTGTAGAAGTTGAATGACCTGCCTAAGTCTTACGTGGCAGAGCAAAGAGTCAAACCCAGGCCTTTCTGACGCTAAGCACCAGGCTCTTTCTCCTCCGCCTGTCTGTCCCTCCACCCCAGTCCATCCAACCAGCCGACAACCCACCTATCCAGGATTTAATGTGCTTCTCTCAACTTGGCTGCATTTGGGAAGCAGCAGTTTGAAAGATGTAGTCTGTGATCCAAGATGCATATGGCTTGTTTTCTTGGCATGCTTATTTTACTCAATAGTTTTATTTTTGTGGAGGTGGGGACATTATTTGCCTATCAAAATTTGCATCAGGTCAAAATAAATTTAAAAAGAAAACATGAAACTTCAGAGACCCATACAGTTGGCAGAGTCCATGCCCAGATCCTGGGGCTCAGATTCAGTCTCCTCCATCCATATGGTGATGTTTTACAAGCCTTGCCCTGCTGGAAGGGATGCTGTCTTTTTTTTTTTTTTTGAGTTGGAGTCTCACTCTGTCACCCAGGCGGGAGTGCAGTGTTACGCTTCTCACAGCCACCGCAGCCTCGACCTGCTGGGCTCAGGCGATCCTTCTGCCGCAGTCTTCCAAGTAGCTGGAACTAGAGGAGTGCACCACCATGCCCGACTAATTTTTTGATCTACTGTAGAGACGAGGTCTCACCATGTTGCTCAGGCTGGTCTCGAACCCCTGAGTTCAGGCAATCCTCTCACCTTGGCCTCCTAAAGTGCTGGGATTATAGGTGTGAGCCACTGAGCCCGGCTGGACTGTCATTTTTTTAAAGACAAGGTCTTACTCCATTGCCCAGGCTGGAGTTCAGTGATCATAGCTCACTGCAGCCTCAAACTCCTGGGCTCAAGTGATCCTCCCACCTAAGTCTCCTAAGTAGCTGGGACTACAGGTACACACTATCACATCTGGCTAATTTTTTATATTATTTGGAGAACAGGGTCTTGATATATTACCCAGGCTGATCTCAAACTCCTGGTCTCAAGTGGTCCTCTGGCCTCAGTCTCCCAAAGCACTACGATTATCGGTGTGAGCCACTGTGCCCGGCCATGAAACTGTCTTTGAGAATCAAAGAGATTGAGTGATCTCAGGACCCGAACCCAGACCTCCCTGACTCCCAAACCTATGTTCCATTTGTGGGATCTTGAACAGGCCACTCTGTCTTGAAAACTCTGCTTCTGACCTTGACTCACAGACTCAACAGGCCTTGCTGTGTCCTAGCTCTGTGATCAGAACCAAAAGGAGACAAAGGGGCTGGCCAGGCTCTGCAAGACTGACATCTCTGATTCTCTGCAGGTTTCTGGCCCTGGTCCAGGAGAAGTACCCCCAGGCCACCCTGTCTCCAGGTTGGACCACCCTCTACATGCCCCTATTCCCGAACAGCACGTACACCCGAGCCATGGTGGAGGACATGCAGGCGCTGGTGGGAGCGCTACCACAGAAAGTCACCTTCCCTGTGCGGACCGTCATGGTGCGGGCCGCCTGGCCCCACTTCAGCTGGCTCTTGAGTCAATCTGAGAGGTGAAGACCTTCCTGACATGGGCTCCAAATCCAACTCTCACCCCAGAGACGCTGATGCCCCAGGGAGATCCCAGATGCTCAAAGATCACCTGGTTCAGTCCTCTCTGGTGCTCACGCCTGCTTTCTGCTTGTATACCTCTGGTGATGGGCTGCTCACTACCTCCCTGGGAACCCTTCTGTTGGAGGGTAACTCTCTGCCCCTGGGAAAATACTTGCACTGAGATACAATTTGTCTCCCCACAGCTTCTTCCCATAGGAGCCAGCTATATCCTTGAGGCTGCAGAGATTGTGCCAACCCCACCCCAAAATGGCCCTATAGGCTTTGAAAGGCCATCCCCACAACCCGCTCCCATCTATCCAGCCCTACTTTCCTCAGCTGCTCCCCACAGGAGTCCTGAGGCTGCCCCTTTCCCTTCTTCATGTCTGAGCCCACCCCCCCATGCCCTCCCCCTCTTATCCTTGTCCCTTTGCTAAAACAGAACTCAGACACTTCGAGTGAGGAGGCAGGACAGGCCTCCCCTCCGTGCTGGGCCTCTGTTTTCAGTCATTCTTCCTCCTCATGATTCTGTGGGCTGGGCGAGGTGTTGGCTAGGTGGTCCTCTGCTCCACCTGGTAAAGGCTGGGGTCACTCACATGTCTGGCTGGTTTCATCTGGTGGTGGGACTGGGCTTGGGATTTCCGAGAAAGCTTCAACCCCATAGCTGACTTTCCAGGCTCCTCTGTGACCTCCGTCGTGTTGTCCCTCACTGCTAAGCATCTAGCCGGTTTCTGCACAGCATGTCACCCGGCTACCCCAGGGAGAGGCCAAAGTCCCGGCATGCTTTCTGAATTCCCTGTGGCTCCTTCTGTCCTCAGGAAGGGTCAGTGCTCAGGAGAAGGGGCTGGTGGGAGGTCGGAGCACAGATGCTCCACCCTGGGCCCGGCCAGCGTCCAGTCTGAACACAGGAGAGGGGCTTCGGGCCCTCCTGGATCCGGGTGGGCACTGAACCAGCTCTCTGGGCCCCAGGTACAGCCTGACACTGTGGCAGGGCGCCTCAGACCCCACATCGATGGAAGATCTGCTTTACGTCCGGGACAACACTGCTGCCCACCAAGTCTACTATGACCTCTTCGAGCCTGCCTTGTCACAGTTCAAGCAGCTGGCCTGTAGGGAGGGGAACCGGGATGGGCGGTGTGGGCTGGACTCTGCACAGGGAAGCACCGGTGGGCACCAGAGCAGAGCTGGGGGGAAGGGACATCGGAAGGGGGAAGCTAGGGTGGGATGGGAGGGAGAATCCTGAATATCCCTTTGTGCCAAGCCCTGGTATGGTGTGCTCTCTAAGCCTCACACACCCATGAAGCAGGAATTCCATTTGATAGGGAAACCGAGGCTCAGAACAGTGAAGGAACTTTTTTTTTTTGAGTCAGAGTCTTACTCTGTTGCCCAGGCTGGAATGCAATGGCACGCTCATGGCCACCACAGTCTCAACCTGCTGGGCTCAGGCAATCCTTCTGCCTCAGCCTTCCAAGTAGCTGGAACTGCAGGCATGTGCCATCACACTCGGCTAATTTTTCTTGATTTATTATAGAGGTGAGGTCTCGCCAAGTTACCCAGGTTGGTCTCGAACCCATGGGCTCAGGCAATCCTCTCACCTAGGTTTGCCAAAGTGTGGGATTATAGGCGTGAGTCACCGTACCCAGCCGCAGTGAAGGAATTTGAAGTGATTCAGCTTGTATGTGGCATAACTCAGACTGGAACCCAGCAAATTCCAAACCCCATGCCCTCTGCCTTATAACACAGTTCCTCTGGGGGTACTTTAGCATTTCAGAGAGCAGCCCCGATTGTGTCTGCAAAGCAGTAATCCAGGCGCTCCTGTCCAAACCCCTGGTTCCCTTGAGCCTGCACCTAGGAAAGCCTGCAGCTAAACCATCTCCAAGGGTCCCCATCAGACGACAGTCCTCCCATGGCAGCCACCTAAGTGAGCTCTGCGGCCGGGCAGGTCTGGCTCCAGACCTCCAGCTACTCTGCTTGCTGCTTGTAGGATCTTCGGCAAGCTGCTTCTTGTAATCTACAAAACAGAGGACTGACAGTTACCTGGCAGGGTGCTGTGAGGCTTAGAACACTTGTAGCACTGTGGCCTGCAGAAGCTGCCATGAACGGCAGCCACTTGAATTTGGCAATCTGGGGTCCCACAGTGAATACCACACGGAAGCAAACGTACTACACGGGGGGCAGCCTGATCCCTCTTCTCCAACTGCCTGGGGGCGACGGTCTGGGTGTGGAGTGGCTCGTTCCTGGTGTCCAGAGCAGCAGACGAACAGCGGCAGTGACCTTCCCAGGTATGGCCTGCCTTCAGCCCCCATGCTCCTAGCTGAACTGCAGAGGCGTCCTTTGCTTGGGGTAGGGACCCTGGGCTTCCGTTATGACGGGAAGGCAGCACAGCAGGAAGAAGCACATGTTTCAAGAGCACAGGGCTCCCAGCCTTCAGACCAGCACCTTTGGGTCCTCAGCCATCCTGCCGCAGGCGAGGTAGGCAAGGACCCCAGGGCTGAGTCAAGGTAAAAAGCGAGAGCCGAACTGGAAGTTTCTCTTGCACTGAGCACATTTATAAAGCAACCCTTCCACCTGGAGCCCAGACCGGTAGACAGAGTCCAGAGAGGCAAGGTACCAGCTCCTGGTCCTTGGCGACCCCAGAACCCCCACTGCCCCTTTGACAAGGGACTCTGACATTTCATGATAACCCGAGACACCGTTGCCTCTGCTGCTTCTTCCAGACAAAGAGGGCATGATTCTGCTGAACGTTGGCCTCCAGGGAACCATAGCTGAGGACCCCGTGCCTGTCATCCGTGTCCCAAGGGGCTCTGTCCACACACTGGAGTCGTGCCTGCTGCAGTTGGCCACACGCCCGGGACGCTGGGGCATCCATTTGCAAATCACAGAGCCCACGGCCCTCCGGCCAGCACTGGCCTTGCTGGCGCGCCTCTCCACCCTTGACCTTCTGCCTCGGCCTGTGTGGGTCGGGGCCACGATCTCCCATGGGAGTTTTGTGGTCCCTGGCCACGTGGCGGGCAGAGAGTTGCTGACAGCTGTGGCTGAGGTTTTCCCCCACGTGACTCTGGCACCGGGCTGGCCTAAGGAGGCACTGGGCAGTGGCTACAGGGAACAGCTGCTCACAGATATGCTGGAGCTGTGCCAGGGGCTCTGGCAGCCCGTGTCCTTCCAGCTGCAGGCTGGGCCGCTGGGCCAGAGTGCGGGTGGAACCGTGGCCAGGCTGCTGGCAGCCTCCCCCCGGGCTACTGTCACCGTGGAGCACAGCCCGGCTGGGGGCAACTATGCCCTTGTGCGGACAGGGCTGCTTGCAGCCAGGGCCGTGGACAGGACCCGAGTCTACTTCAGGCTGTCCCAGGAGAACCGCAAGGACCTGCTGGCTGATGTCGGCAGAAGCTGAGCAGCCAGTGATGGTGGGCTGGGAGGCCTCGTGTGAAGGCTTCCCGTAGGCGAGGCAGACAGGAATACATGCTTCTGCCTTCCTCCATGAACTGTCCGTGAATTCTTGGGGCAGGGTGGCGTGGGAGTGGACGGGATGTGGCCCTGGCGCCCTTAGAGGGTCTGGAGGCTAGGGGCCAGGTCGTTCCGGTTATCCAGGAGGAACTGCTCGCAAGCCTTGAAGGTGGTGTAGAACTCAGAGGAGAGGCCAGCCACGTTGGTGGTCACATACTTGAGAAAGCCCGGGGTGGCCTGGCTGTAGTAGGACACCTGCAGGGCAGGAAGCCAGACTCAGGGAGGCCGAGCTGGGCGGGGGGAGCTGGAGGAGCAGGGAGCCCCATGGGCGGGTAGGGGAAGCAGGTGGCCTGTTTGCCTGCCTTCTGGGAGGGCAGCAGATACGATGCCGTTCCCCGGGGCCTTAGAAGATGCACAAATAGCAGGCTCGGTGGCTCCGCCTGTCATCCCAGCACTTTGGGAGGCCGAGGCGAGTGGATTGCCT